ATCAAACCATAACGAATGGTGCTTAAGCTACCTGTCTAGAAGGCACACATTAAATGCAGAAAACTATTAAAACACTGATTATTACAACATTTGTAGAAAATATAAAACACCCCTTGAAAAAAATTATTTACACAGAAATATAATTGGTTAGACATTTTTTTTATATTCCCCCCTGCAATTGTTTCCACTAATTGAAATGTCTTTAAATCAACATTAACATGAATTGAACGCACTGTAGTAAACAGATAAATCGAGTCAGAAGATGTCCTTCAGTCATCAATGCTCACATTCAGCGACACACAGGAGCTCTTTCAAACTGGGCACCGTTTCTTTCACAACACCTGTCCCATCAACCAGGAATCAGAATCAGAAATACTTTAATAATCCCAGGGAGAAATTACTTTAGTTACATTACTCCATCTGTAATAGAGTGACTATAGGACCAGTTTGATAGAACACTATTTCATACAATATATATAATTGGGGTCCCCGCTCCCTCTTTCCATCAGTTTGGGGGCCCTTGGCCTGGAAAACATTGAAGACCCCTGGTTTAATGGATACATCTCTGTATAAGGATGGGTGCACTGGTACTGTCTGAGAGTCACAGAGTTTCTGGGAAGTGAGGAAATTTTCCTGCTTCCTACTTTCAGAAATGGCTAAGGTGTGGGATTAGGACTACGATGGAGATTGGGTCTAGGATAGGGTTTAGTATGTAATGTTGATGGTTAGGCCATCAAAATATTTAAAAAAAAAAGCTTGGCTGCCTTTCATGGAAAATTAATTTGGCTCAGAATTGAAAATACTTAATTGATCCTAAGGACAAATGAAATGTTGAAACTCTAGCAAGTTATTTTTTATGTTAATTGCTGTAGGCAGGAGTCTTCTGTAGTGGTATGGTTCTGGAGTAGCCTCTGACCTAAGAAACTCTGTTGTTTAACTGTCTGTTGAAGATGATGATCATAGTTTCCCTAAAGTCTTTCATTTTTGTGAAGAATTCTTTGTTAAATCATCTCCAGTTGTTCTATTGGAATTCTTAGAATAGAGCTGACCTTCCTTATCAGCTTGTGGAGCTGCTTTACATAAAGCAACAGATGTTGGCAGAGGAGATCACACTCTCCACAACAGTCTTATAGAAGCTATGCACCATCTTGTTCCCAACACTAAAGGACCTATGCAATCTGCTCTAAAGGACCTATGCAATCTGCTCTAAAGGACCTATGCAATCTGCTCTAAAGGACCTATGCAATCTGCTCTAAAGGACCTATGCAATCTGCTCAGTCCCTTCTTGTAGACAGCTTCACAGTTGTATCTCAATTTCAGTCTCTTATCCAGGTGAACACCAAGGTTTTACAATCCTCAACCACCTCCACTTCTTCTCCTACGATAGTAATAGGATACGACATGTTCTTCTGAAATCTAAAATTATCTCCCTTGTTTTGTTGACATTCTAGATAAGATGATTGTTTTTCAATGAGGACATTCCCTTTTGCAATTAATGACATCTTTGGTCTTTTTCACTACTTGTAATTTTCCGTCAAAGTATTTCCTCTGACATTGGTTCACCTTTAAACCCACTGCCCAGTCTGCAATGATGAACACTTACTATTTAAGGGCTGAATGGTCCACTCGCCCTAAACACTATGTAGTTTGGGACGCTTTGGGACCCTTAATGTGGCAGACACTTTGGGTAGTGTCTAGTGGCTGTGTTTAGGGGCCAGATTGGGATTGGGCCCTAATCAGGACCTAATGATTCAGTAGCGAATGAAGCCATCTGTTTGGAGACACCAGAGCCTTGACAAGAAGGCCCTGTTTCATTCACTAGACATTAATGAAATAGATAGAGAAGGACCAGTTCCTCAATTTACATTAAAGACAATTAATATATAAACAGTTTAACCTTGTTTTGACAGGTACTTTTATCAATAATTTCAAATTAATTGTGGATATTTAAACACAATCTTCAACAGGTAAATAATTATGTTTTTTTTCTTCTCAGCTTCTGCTCATAGTTTATTAGCCCAACCAACCTAACATCAGCTGATTGGCAGACATCTGTTTATAGATAGAAAGCGGGATTAGGAGCATCACGCCTATTCAGCCTTTGAGAATACTAACTTATTGATTGGACTGAATATTCATTTTTTATGTTCCGGATCTATAATCCTGTTCATATTGCACAATTTTTACCATCCTGCATGTCTTTGTACTTTTTGGCTCATCAAGTATAAATTAATTTAAATAATTAATCTGTAAATTTAATTTCATAATTAATAATACATATCCTGCCTATTGCAACCCTATAAGGAGTAATCTATTCCAGAGCAATTCTCCCTCTGGTTGACGGTACACAGAAAGCGTAGTCTTAGATCTTAGTCAATTGGGCACCACTGTTGTGCAACTTTAATATATTTATTGCCCTCCCCAATAGGGCTGGGAAATATGCTATCTAATCAGTTGAAATTTGGACTGTCATATATTGTTTGTGAACACACACCCTACTAGCTGTGTGTTAGAACAACAAATGAAAGTGTGAATCAAGCTGAAATGATGGTCTAACAGATAATTATGCACAAACTGTATATGCAATAAATTTACCACAACTTCAATTAAAAAAACAACAGCTTATTAACAGAAAATATTCAGCTCCAAGTCAAACATTCAAACTTTCAGTTCAAAACTCTTGGCTAAGCTAGTGAACAGCAAGTTAACAAAAAAAAAAAATATATATATATATATCAAAACCACCAACCCCTCCATGTTTCTAACCAATTTTCCCCTCTCAGTGCAGACCCACTGAGAAGCCCACTATGGTGATTGGCAGCTCCATAGTCAGAAACGTCACATTAGAGACACCAGGGACCACAGTCAAACGTTTTTCAGGGGCCAGAACGAGCAACATCAAATCCTGCCTGAAACTGCTGGCTAAGGATAAGGTTAAATACAGTAAGATTGTTATTCATGCTAGCAATAATGACACCTGGTTACACCTATCTCAGGTCACCAATACTTGTGTCACTTGTGTGTGTAAGTTTGCCAAAAAAATGTCGGACTCGTGTCTGTAAAGATTTTCAGTCATCCAGGCCATGATCAAGCTCAGAAAGTTCAGTTTAGGCAACTGGGAACTTTTCTAGAAGCTTTCAAAAAGACGATTCGCTTCTCATCCAAGAGGCTTCTTTAGTTCTAACTGATGTCGGACTTAATTTTCTCTGGTCGCCTCCCTGATCTGACCGTTGATGACATGTTTAGCCGCATGTTGTCATTCAATCACTGGATGTCTAGGTGCTGTCCCAAAAATGATGTGGGCTTATTCGGGAAAGCTGGTCTGATTCGTAAGGATGGCATCCATCCCACTTTGGATGGTCCAGCTCTTCTCTGTGGGAAAATGAAGAATTTAATTTGTCCTCCAAAACCCTGACAGTCCAGGGTGCAGACCAGAAAGGAGAGACGTAGTTTAACAATCCTCTCTGCAGCTTCTCTACTGTTACCCTCCAATCATCCCATTCAGACAGTGTCTTGCCCACGACCAAATCAAATAAATTATAAAACAATGGTAAAGGAGTAAATCATGATCATCTAATTAAATTTAAATGACTAAAACTGAGAAAAAGGCAGAACTATTAAATATGGTTTATTTAACATTTAACTCTTTCTTCAAAAGTCTGTACAAAATTACTTGATTTGTGATAATCACACTGATTTATGTTGCCTTACAGAAACTTGGCTGCAGCAAGAGGATTATGTGAGCATAAATGAGGCAACTCCTTCTAGTTATTTTAAATTTTTTACATACCTGGAAATTCTGGGCAAGGAAGAGGAGTAGCAATAATATTTAAGTTTGACTGATTAGTCTAAACCAGTTAATAGTTGAAATTTCATTAAACTTTAACACTCAGTATCCGTCGTCCAATTTGCAAAGCAACAAAACCTCTTCTGCTTGTAACTTTTTATCTTCCACCAGGTCCTTACTCTAAATTTGTTTTTTATCAGTTTTCAGAGTTCCTATCTGATTTGGTGTAAAATACTGACAAGTTAATTACAGTTAGTGATTTTAATGTCTATGCTGACACTGAAGGTGATATCTTAACTGTACCCTTTGATGCTATCTTAGACTTGGGATTACATTGATCTCAAATAATAAAGTAAAAACCCTTGGTGTTATTTTTGGTAAGGACCTGTCATTTAAATCCTATATCAAACATGTTTCTAGAATATCCTTCTTTAATCTCCACAATCTTGCAAAAATCTGAAATATCTTGTCCAGAGGCAGGGCCCTACCATTGAGGACACAGAGGTCATCTCCTCTGTATCTTATTAA